CGACTGCCGGGCAAGAGGTTTTGGGTTCGATTCCCGGATCGGGCAAAGTATTACTGGGTTTTTATAAATATTCTCAGTAGTAGCACGGAGTCTGGAATTGTGTCCGGTATGGGCTCACCCCCTATTACATGAGACTCATAACATAAATAGTGAAAAGTGGGTGTTACATTGTACAGTGGTATAATGTGCACCTCTGCCTACCCCTTCGAGGATAAAAAGCGTGTTGTTATGTCATGTCTTATTTACATATGCATAAATATTATTATCTTATTATTGCCCTACTAGTTACCAAAGGCCTCTTTTCATACGGAGAAGAAATTATCACTGTCACCAGGTTCGCTTAAGGCAGATTAGCGACCTAAAAGAAGTAACTTGAACGAACTTAAATACAATTGTGCCACAAAAACATATTGAAATTATCGCTTACCCAAAATATTGAAATTCAGTATGAAATCGATTATAAATACGATTTAGCGTAATATGATAGAGTTAAACATTAATTGCATTATCCGGTCAAACCATTAATTGTGATGAATGGCCCAATAAATCCGGACTTCTAACGTTGTTGCCACGATATCGAATTGCCACCGGTGATAAAGGTGTTTACACATTATTATTATCAAATTGATTGGCCGTATTGGTTGAATGGATACAAATATCACTGCTGAACACGGAGTTTCATTAGCTTTTTTTATATTATCACTGATAATGATGACTATGGGACTCACGGACTCACTCTACATGGGACTCATAACATGGGACTGCACGGTTGGTGCGGGGGCTGGGCAACCGGCTGCCGTGCAACGTGTCGCGGGTTCGATTCCCGCACGGAATAACACTTTGTGTGATCCACAAATTATTGTTTCGGGTCTGGGTGTCATTGTGTATGTGAACTTGTATGTATGTAAACGCACCAACGACACAGGAGAAAATCCTAATGTGAGGCAAAGTTTAAAAAAAAAAAACAAAAAAATTGGTTGGTGATAATTAGTTGTTACATGTATGTACTACACCTCATTGTATTGTTAAGGTTAAGTTATTATCAGATTATCGCAAACACTATATTTCATCATATTCGTCAACTATAAGAGAAAATTACTATTTATACTAGCCTTACTCGATCCAGAAATAACCTTTATACCACACGAAGCCGCGAAATTGAAGCAATTTTCAATCACTCCATGAATGATAGACAACAATAACGAACGCTTCGAAGACTTTGTATAAATAAAGCTATAAATATTTCAATAGAAAGCAATCGGTAAGCTACCCTGTAAACCGAGAATTGTCAATTTGTAAATACTAGTGCAAACAATACGGTTTCGTTATTTTAAAATAGCATTATTACTTATGAACAATGACAATTTTATTTTACAGTTAAGTATTATATGTTGATTAAAAAATCAGCCCCCAGTAAAGTTAAAGTCAAAGCACGTATCTCAATTAACACTTAATTAGACACTTTTGGAACTTTAAAAATTGAATTGTCCGTCCGACAGTCTATCAGTGAAGTTAGTACCTACAACAAAAATTACTGCCTATGTATGTACTTAATCAATCGTATTTTTATTACCTATATATACGTAAAATAACTTGGCTCAGTCTACAAATGGACATACATACGTAATTGTTTATAATAATTATTATCTTACGATATTATTATTTATTGGACCATGCTCCCGCTACTGGTCGGCTCCTATTTTTTATATTTTTAAATATTATTTTCATTTTATAAGTAGTATTTAAAAATGTAATTTGTAGAAAATTTTAAACAAATATATGTACATAATTATCATAATTACATAACATAACATCACGCCTTTTTACCCCGAAGGGATAGGCAGAGGCGCAGATTTCGGCACTTAATGCCACTGTACAATGTAATACCCACTTTTCACTATTTATGTTATGAGTCCCATGTAATAGGGGGTGAGCCTATTGCCATATATCGGGCACATTTCCAGACTCCGTGCTACTACTGAGATTTTTTTATAAACCCAGTAATTGCCCGACCCGGGAATCGAACCCGAGACCAATGCCCGGCAGTCGCACTTGCGACCACTCGGTCAACGAGGCAGTACATAATTATCCAGTTTCATAATTACAGAACTAGGCAAGACTCGAAACTAGCCGACATAAAGTAGGTCCAGTAGCATCTTGGCAAGCCGCAAAATTGAGAAACTAACATTTGTCTACTGGATAGGTCGTATCTCTGGCACTTGGCCATTTTAAAGTCTTTATATTTTTTATTTTCTTGGTCAATAGAAAGCTGTTTATGTGACCGCTGTAGGAAGTTTTGATGTGATTACTTTAATCTTCAACAATGATTAAAGACAGACCATTGTTTTATTTTATTTTAACACAGACTTTCCCAACCATTCCGAGCCAGTGGCGCGATGTGTAAACCGAGAAAAGTATAAGTATAATATTCACTTATTAAAATTCCAAGACGAAAATGTATTTTTAAGACAGTTGAAGTTATAATAACTAGTAGCTGACGTCATTAATTTCTATCTTAAAAATTCTTCTTCAGCTGCATATAACTACGTACAAATATTTGAGCTCTACAATATGCACACACAGTTCTGAAAGGGCTAAAATCGTGTGCAGTCTCGCTATAATTTATACTTATATTAAAACCATTGTTCTACATTACTTTGTTCATAGTTGGCTTTAAATGCAATTAAAATATGCAGCGTGGCACAATGAAAAGTGTGATTGTATGCTGGCTATTGTATTATGCTTCGTTTAAGAATTTTCTCTGTGTATTTTATTACACACTTCTCTTCATAAGTAATTATTACAATATTTTTATTCTTTGTAAATTGACTTATTTGACTATTCTTTAAAGCCGTGTTATAAAACAAAAACTCATACGATAACTCACGGTTTCTAACTAGTCACGTAATATTAAACGCGATAATTTTCTATAAACTATTTTAAAAACTGCTTTTTTGATGACGGATTTTTTCGTGTCAATAACCATACTCATGAATTACAAAGAAAACTACAAAATTAAAGCCTAAAATTCTGTTACTAAATAATATGATCATTGTACATACATATATAAACAATATTATCATATATAGATTTATTAGACAATTACAGAAACATCATAAACGATTGAAGCAACGAGCCTATTCCCAAAGAGCGGTTTATTAAGTAATTAAAGATAATATATTTACTCAGTAAAATGGTAAATTTGTTTTTATAACTTTGTGCCATTTGCACGTTTCTTACAAATATTGACAGTCCTCAGATCTCCGCCGCTGTATGCCAATAAGATAACATATTTTACATTTCAATGCTGCCAACACAACGGAAAGAGATCTATTTACCTGAACATCTGAATACCACTTCAATGTGATCGTTTTTTGAGGCTTAATTTTGTTTTGAGAACTTGAATTAAGGGTTAATGATGGTTTTTCTTTTTTTACAATACTAATGATCTTTGAGATTCTGTCCACTCAAAGATTGATTAGACATATTTGTATTTTTTTCTTAGCGTTTTTATAACGTACAAAGCGTATTCTACCCAATTCTATTACAACCATAAAATAATAGTGGTACAACACAAAAACCACCAACCAAACATTTAACTCAACCGGATCACTTATTAACAATTCCAAACTTGATCTCTTAATTTTACGATTCCAATTACAATACCAACCGCGAGATATTTACACAGAATCGGCAATCGGAGCAAAGTTAGTGCTTACTGATTCATGATTCTGAAAGGCGAGGCGAGGTAGACGAGGCGAGGCAGACGAGGCGAGGCAGACGAGGCAAACAGATGTTGACTGATGCAGACACAACATTGTCCAGCGTGCCGCCGAGTGCCGACGTGCACAAACAATGATTTGATTAAGGCACAAACAGAGTAAATCCCTTTGCTATAGTGTGTTATCCAATTTGTATCGATTACCGATTGTTATCGATAAATTGAATATATCGAATATAAACGTAGTAGTTTACTTATTAAACTTTAATTGTTCGTCATAATTAGGGTAAAATATAAGTGTTTTTAGAAATATAACGAAACGAAAAATAATCGAAACGTTTGTAAAATCGGGTTTTGTGCTATAGTGGTTAAACGGTTCTTAAGCCATTTTATAATAACAAGCTATCCTGTTTGTTATTTAATAGTTAGACCTTATAAAAGTGATCAGATCTATATCGATACTCTCAATAGACAAATATCGTCTAAGCCAGCTAAAGATGTCAGATTCACCTACCGATTCACGATTACAAAAAATCTTGTTTATATAATCGCAGAAAATATATAGTATACGAGTTTTCATCCTTATAATATGTATATCGTACTTACGTCCTATTTTTACTTCCTCACGCATCGGCTTTGAAACAATTCATCACCCCTCACCCCTCAGGATTTAAATAGAGCCCTCAGCATACTGGTTACATAAATATGTATGACGGTAGCGCTCAGCCCCGCTATCAATTGCCACTTGACCGAGCCCCAAGTAAAAACTCCGAGCCTCAATCAAGAATCTGGTGTAAAACTATTGAAGATAACTTCAACTATTCACTTTGTACAAGACGTAGCTATGTATATAGACATTCTGGGGTTTACCAGTTATTATGAGAGTAACTTACTTAGCGTGTACTTCTTTTATGAACTGGCACTTACTCGATACAAGTTAATGAATTATTCACATCCTGCTGACCCACATAATATATCGATCAGTCAATTGCATTATTTACGTCTTTATCGTGTCCCCATTGTAACAACCCTGCTCTAAAACAAGGATCTTAAACAGTTTACGATTAATAAAGGTATTCGCTCTTTGTGGTCTCGGAGACGGCGGCGCTGGACATCTAGAAAACATGTTGTAACCCCAACAGATGCAGCGGATCACGAACATAAACCCGAGCAGCTACACTGACTCGCAACGGCAACGATAACAATAAGCAAAAACAAATGTAGCCTAGCTAACAATACAACTTATGACGAGGTACAATAATAATAATTGTGATTTTAATTATAAATTAGAAGAAGAAAAATTAGTGTACTGTACCAAGTTATGCGTCCAAATTTTTCTTGTAGAGTAATTAGTTGTATAGTGAGTGTCAGCTGAGCTGAGTGGACCGTGTGATGACAGTTTGACGGTGGAAGATGAATTTGACTCGGTTGTGTCGGTGGAGCATGTGAGTGTGGCGGGAGCGAGCGTCCGACCAGCATGGCGGCCGTCGCCGGCCTCTACGGATTGGGGGACGAGCAGCGAGCCAGGCACCGCCGCGGCCAGTGCAATACGGAGCGCTCCGAGTCCAGAGATGACAACACCGAGGCGTAAGTACATTGCTTATTCAACCCATTGTGGTCGTCGCCATCTCTCATTGGCAGGATGAGAGATGTTACAGTATTGGCACTTGTTCGTCTCTTTTATCTAGCATTGGAACCGTGTGGTGCCAGGGCAATCTCCAAGCCGCCTGCCAAACGTAAAGGTTATAGCAATAAAGGTTTAGACTGTCATGGGCTGTTGATAACAACAATGATGTACTACTCATGTCATCACTCATTACATTCCTAAACCTTAATTAATATTGCAATTAAATGGAGATTTTGTAACGCTAACCACAAAACGCGTAATTAGACAAAGTCACTATCATATCCAATTACTGCTCAAATACAAAACATACCACTAATTAGAACCTAACCTGCTTGGATCGTGGCCGAAATAATTTCCGTATAGTGATAATATTATGTTGTTAGTTGAACACTAATAAGCGAACTGAATTTCAGATTCAGTGATTCAGTTTCAGATTCAGCGTGATGCTTTAAATCGCATAGCGATGCAGCGTATCGCAGATTACTGCAATAAAGCGGGCTTCGTTCAGATTTTGATAAACATTATTAGTTAGGATATAATTATAGTTGTCGTCACAATCATGAATTAATTTTTATGTTTTATTTTAATTCTATACCCAAAAAGAAGAAATTTATTCAGATTGTCCAAGGTTATTTAATTGAAACAGCAACCACGACAACAACGCACAGTATTTTAATAATATAGACTTATCATTAAGCCTTATACTTATATAAAAATAACTACTCGCTCAAGATTTCACTCATTACTCGGCTCCTATTAATAATAGCGTGATGTTTTACCCTAAAGCCTTCCTCGATAAATGAAGTGTTCAACACAATAATAATTATTTCATTAACAATGTTTAAAAAACCGAATTCAACCTCTTCATTATTTGAAGTCGGTGATTTAATATACTAAAAACCTTCTCTTAAGTGTAACAAACACTTTTCTGAAACCCACATCAAAATCGATACTACCAATAGCGAGAAAATCACGCTCAAACATACATACATGGTCAAACTAATAACCCTTAAATTTTTATAATAACTATCGTGAGACATACTAAATTAAGGAAATGCCAGATGGCATTAAGTCCGCCTTATGTGCCCTTTTTTTGTGTGCATTAAAAAGTTAATAAATAAATAAATTAACGATTTTTAGTTAACCTCCAAATTATTGAAGTCGGTTAAAAAGCTCTTCTTTAGTTAAACTCCTTCAAAAAACTAACTCTATGGCTTTATATAATCATAGTATATATCGTCACCTTCTTATTATGACCTGTTGTCAAACTAAAATCTTCAAACTGACCGGTCATAGGCAGTTGTAATAAGTTTAATGTGATAATGCCAACAGCAGTTGCTGTGAACATCGACAAAGTTCTAATTAGCCGCGGTGTTAAATCAAACAAGTTAGTCTTTAAGTCAGTAATAGTCCTTAGCCGAGTGTACAGTACTTGTGTTTCTGTAAGTGTATCAGTATATGTGTTGAGCTGTTTAATATTAAGGTACCGGACGCTCGTCGTTTTGTTAAAAACTGACTGTGAGAAGTTCAATTTTAACCATATTAGTAGAGAGTACGTCAAACGTTGGCCCATCATACATTAATGTATCACAACATAGTATAAAATATGCATGCTTAAATCTTTAAACCCACGCAACGGATTTTGATGCGGTTTTTTAATAAACAGAGTGATTCTTAAGGCAGTTTTATATGCATATTGCACCCATGCGAAGCCAGAGCGGGTCACTAGTATCCTATAAAATAAAAATGCCCTTTATTCCGCTAATTACAATATTTTAGTTTTTTTAAGTTAAGTTTAATTTATATCATTTATCACCATATAAAATAACCCATAATACAAAAACAATTTCTTTGTTTTACAAAATCTTAATTAAAAACAAAACGTTTAACTATTCTGCGGAAATGTAGTACCATGTTCTAATATGACTTCAAACAGAGTTTTGGTCATTTTAAGATAAAATACACAGGCTTCGTCACAAAAGAGGGCATAACAATATAGATAACAAACTCAAAGATTTATTTTCCTAAAAAAAAGAAGTTGAATACACTGACGAACATAAATTCACACTAGACGACTCTCGCAGGTTCTATACCAAAACTTGAAGTAAAACTTTGTAACAAGATCAAATGACCATATTAATACACATTGCGACCTCGAAATCTTTCTTCTGTCTCGGTCACACACATCTAGACCTCACAAGAAAGACAGAGACACATGGTTTTATTGAGAATCAATTTGAAAGGATAGGTTACCTCGCCTGTCGCAACTAACATTTCGATTTCCCAATAGACAGTTTTGTTGAAATACCTCTTCGCAAAATGATTTTTTAACATTACGTTACATAATATGTTTTTTCTTCGGGGAAGGACTTTAGTAAGCAATTAAATTTCGGCCGTATTTTTGGTTCTCTGTTTGTATTTAACTTCGTGAGTTACAAGCTCTCCCAATATTTGTTTAGTGATAAAGTTAATATTTAGATTTTTGGCAAGGTTGGGCCATTTCTATAAAAAGGAAAACAAGTATTTGGAAGTCAATATTTGTAGAAAACAAATATAATTTGTATACAAAGTTTGGAGTACATAAATTAAATATGGTACACAAACAAGTTTCGATTAGTGTTTTCGTAGCAACAATACAAAAAGCAATTTTTAACATCTTTAGAAAGATAAAAGAAAGAACGAACGATGTCATAACTTAAAAAAGATAAATCTCTTACATCAGCATGAAATCTTCAGTCAAACTGAGCATTCAACGGATCTGAATGTCTAAAGGGCTAACCCTAAAGCCGGCGAGTGCAGTAGGCCGTAATTGTCGGCCGACGCTTTCATTACCGGCCGCCTTGGCCTTGAAGGCCGGTATTACGTAACCAGTAACCCTCTGTATGTCACTGGTGGCCGTCTGAGAAACGCGCCGAGATTTTGTACCATCGCGCCGCCGGAGGGTTATGTCATTTATTGTAACTCGTTTGGCGTATTTTAGCTTTATTTAAAAAACTAAATAACAGCTTGTAAAAAGACTTTATGAATTTATCAGTTTACAAAACATTTTTTAGAATATTATGTATTTTGATGACACAATAGTATTATACAAGTTCGGCTTAAACAATGTAGGCTCGATTTTATTTTCTGTCAAAAGCAGTTGACAGAACATAAAATCAAATTTACAATTGTGTGAAATGAAACGTCATGCTTATTAATAACAATAGGTAGTTGTCACACATTTTGTGGAAAACAACTGAAGCAATCAAAAGTTGAAACAACAAAATATTTATTTACTAGTAATAGGTATGACATTTTATTATTTGCTTTACGAAAGCAAATAATAAAATATCATTGCATACAGAATTACTTTGAACCAAAACGTAATGATACATCCGCCAGTTACATAAACCAAAACTTAATCAGAGGTAGTTAAACAAGGCCTAAGTACCATAAAAACAATGTTGGCCTCTTTGCCACAAGTCCATAAACCCCTTGACACTATAAAAGTGGCTACGTTCGTAACTCGTAGCCGAGCTACGCATTGTGCTACGGACGCCTACGCGCGTAGCGGCGTAGACAGCGCGGCGTCGTCGCCGTAGCCAGTCTGAGGGTCAATATCTTTCGACTCAAAATATATAATAGAGGTCGCGTACTGGTCGAGATTCGATCGCATATTTCACATAGAGAATTTTTGGTTTTAGAATTTAATTTGGGGATTTTCATTTATATAATTTCAACTATATGCTCGACATGGACGACATGTGCCTTAAAATTTAGTAGAATTATCAATATTTTAATTAATAATTTAGTCTTTATGTATAATAAATAACTTGCTGCACTTTTTTCAGTATCAACCTTATGTGTATACACGTGAAACTAATCTTGAAAAGATTGTATGAAACCTTGCATTATATTGTTATGAAACACTTTTAAAATAATTATCCAACTTACTTCTACCTCCATCTTCTTCAACTCAGAAGGTTAAAAACCTGTGACATTGTAACAGTTGTCATGATATGAACTTGTTTACTTACGAGTAAATAGGTATAAAGTAAATATGATTTAGACATTTGAAAGGTTTCGTAATCCTCGCAGTCGAGCTCAGTAGACGACTGTTACTGGCTCGGAACTATGTCTGTAGACATTGAGGCGCCTCTAGCAACTAGTAATGGGTCAATGCTTTTAGTCCATGTTTTTATATTTCTATTAATAAATAAGCAATTTCCGAGTGTTCGGCGGTAACCTTTGCTTTTGTGGAGGGACATTTTGTAAAATTTAGAAAAATTTAATAAATAATAATGTCACGTCATCATAATAAATATTAAACAATCCTTTGGAAGATTCTCGAAATATTAAGCATCGCATTATCAACAGTCTGGAACAGTCCACGGCTAAAGTATAGCTTCATCTACATACAAAGGTTTGCCATAATCGCCACACTTCGCAAACAGGATGGAGACTAAACTTTAGATTATTCATCATCATCATCCTCATCAACAGCCGAAAAAAAGGTTCAGCAGGCAAGAAATCGCAGCTCAAACAAATAGATTTATCAAAGAATGCTGTTGCCTAGTCTATGTCTAATTTATTTGTTCCTTACGCCAGCTTACTGAAAGGCAATTTTAACCTGTGGTATGTCAGAACGTAGATCTACGCGAGAGACAATGCGTTTTCTATTTTCTCTTATATATCGACAGACAAGAGGGTTAAGTTGTACTTGTGCCATCTCTATCATTTTACAAAGAATTTGTAGAGACAGAACTATGCTTAAATGCTATTTAAAATTTTGGATATTGTCAAAATATATCTTCCCCGATACATTATATATATATACATTATATATATATATATATATATATATGTATAAGTATAATATATTCATGCGTTGTTATTAATATTCAACACTTAATTGAAAAAAGAAGTAAATATTCTAAAATAAAAACGGATTCAGGAAAGATCAATCTATCTTTTTGATTGA